CATACAACAAATACTATAGTTTTTAATTATGTATAGTAATACATATAAAATAACATTTTTACTTACCTTTATTGAAGATTGATGATGGCATCTGGAAGATAGGGAGGAGGAGAGAGGGAGTTGGGGTTAATGTTTGGAAGGAGAATCCCCCTCCATGAGGACTTCAGGTAAAGCCCTCTCTGGGGTTACTTCCCTTCTCTGTCTTTTAATGCCACTAGGACCAGCTTGAGAGTCACTGGACCCCTGTCTCACAAAATAACTGTCCACAGTCTTTTGTTTCTGGTGCCTCTTTAACATTTCCCTAAAATGGGACATGGTTCTGTCACTGAACTTGTTGCAAAGATGGCTTGTTTCACTTGTTCAGGTTTGAATTCTTCACTGTCTATGTACCCCTCAAACTCCTGTACAAACTTCTCAGCCGCCCGTTTGTCTGAACTGGCTGCCTCACCATGTCTTACAACATTGTGTATGCCACTACGCTTCTTAAATGTGTCAAACCAGCCTGTAGTTACTTTAATATCTTTATTATGCACCCCATACCCATCCTGTAGGCGGTAGTCAAAAGAATTTCAAAGGTACATAATGGGTCCAGGGACTGGACCCCAAAGTTATGATAGCTGAACTAGTTACAAAGGTAATGAACTCCAGGTAGATCTGGTCACAATCATGGCAAGTTACAAAGGTAATGAATCAGCCTCACTCCTATACATGGTTACAGTCATGAACAAATTACAAACTAATGAACCACTGATACATCCACACCTGGTCACAATTGTAATGAGTTATAAAATACAGGTATTAAGTGGGTCATACACCCACACTAGTGCACGCACACACATACACACACGAGGGCGCACACACAGACATGCACATGAGCGTACAAATATATGCATACACACAAGTACGCACACCCACACACAAACGAGCCTCTGCTGGCCTTAGATTCTCTATCAGCACTGGTTCCAGGAGTTTTCTGTACCAGATTGGCATGCAACTTCCTTGCCTTTTTGCAAATAATCATCTCTGAAACACTATGACCTGCAATCTCTTTATCCTTGATCCACACCAGCAACAACTTCTCAACCTCTTCAACTATTTGTGGTCTTTTTTTGGTTAGCATATTAACACCTTTTGCAACATCAGCTTCCTTGATTTGTTCTTTCTTTGACAGGATAGAACCGATGGTTGACTTGTTTTTCCCATACATCCTGGCAAGCTCAACAAGTCTCACACCACTCTCATACTTCTGTATTATTTCCTTCTTCACATCTATGGTGTTTCTCACTTTCTTTACCACAGGGGTACCACTAGTAAGTTTCTTTGGGCCCATGGCAGCTTATTTCACAGTCCCACAAGCACTAAACACAACGAAATAAACGTAAAATGTGTGAATGAGAGCGCAGGTTAGTGTTCACTCAAGCATAAACAAAGCTAGACTGCTCACGGCGCCTGCGCGGGGACGTGGACAAAGCGGGCCCGCAGACATGTCCTGTACCCGGCTGTCCGAAAATAGGGGCGTGTTCGATAATAGGGACACAGTTTGTCCGAAAAAATGGCCCTATTTTCAAAACGTTCGATATGTGATACGTTCAATTTTTAAGGTTCCACTGTATTGTACATTATGATATAAAGTTTAAAGAAAATAGCAGATCAGGAAATATTCCATTGTTAAAAGTTTGCAAAGTGATAAAAATAAATTATTTTTACCAAGGAAAATCTGGATGAGATGAAGGGGGTCGATAGCTTACTGAATGTGCGTGGATGTTGTGCAAATGATAAGAAAGAGATGATTGTGGATGTTATGAATGAGAAGAAGCTGGATGTCCTGGCTTTAAGTGAAACAAAGCTGAAGGTGGTGGGAGAGTTTAAATGGAGAGGAATAAATGGGATTAGGTCAGGGGTTTCAAATAGAGTTAGAGCTAAAGAAGGAGTAGCAATAATGTTGAAGGATAAGCTATGGCAGGAAAAGAGGGACTATAAATGTATTAATTCAAGGATTATGTGGAGTAAAATAAAGATTGGATGTGAAAAGTAGGTTATAATAAGCGTGTATGCACCTGGAGAAGAGAGAAGTGTAGAGGAGAGAGAGAGATTTTGGGAAATGTTGAGTGAATGTGTGGGGAGTTTTGAATCAAGTGTGAGAGTAATGGTGGTTGGGGATTTCAATGCTAAAGTGGGTAAAAATGTTATGGAGGAGTAGTAGGTAAATTTGGGGTGCCAGGGGTAAATGTAAATGGGGAGCCTTTAATTGAGCTATGTGTAGAAAGAGATTTGGTAATAAGTAATACATATTTTATGAAAAGAGGATAAATAAATATACAAGGTATGATGTAGCACGTAATGAAAGTAGTTTATTAGATTATGTATTGGTGGATAAAAGGTTGATGGGTAGGCTCCAGGATGTACATGTTTATAGAGGGGCAACTGATATATCGGATCATTGTTTAATTGTAGCTACAGTTAGAGTAAGAGGTAGATGGGAAAAGAGGAAGGTGGCAACAACAAGTAAGAGGGAGGTGAAAGTGTATAAACTAAGGGAGGAGGAAGTTCGGGTGAGATATAAGCGACTATTGGCAGAAAGGTGGGCTAGTGCAAAGATGAGTAGGGGGGGGGGTGAAGAGGGCTGGAATAGTTTTAAAAATGCAGTATTAGAATGTGGGGCAGAAGTTTGTGGTTATAGGAGGGTGGGGGCAGGAGGAAAGAGGAGTGATTAGTGGAATGATGAAGTAAAGGGTGTGATAAAAGAGAAAAAGGTAGCTTGTGAGAGGTTTTTACAAAGCAGAAGTGTTATAAGAAGAGCAGAGTATATGGAGAGTAAAAGAAAGGTAAAGAGAGTGGTGAGAGAGTGCAGAAGGAGAGCAGATGATAGAGCAGGAGAGGCACTGTCAAGAAATTTTAATGAAAATAAGAAAAAATTTTGGAGTGAGTTAAACAAGTAAAGAAAGCCTAGGAAAGTATGGATTTGTCAGTTAAAAACAGAGTAGGGAGTTAGTAGATGGGGAGATGGAGGTATTAGGTAGATGGCGAGAATATTTTGAGGAACTTTTAAATGTTAAGGAAGAAAGAGAGGCAGTAATTTCATGCACTGGTCAGGGAGGTATACCATCTTTTAGGAGTGAAGAAGAGCAGAATGTAAGTGTGGGGGAGGTACATGAGGCATTACGTAGAATGAAAGGGGGTAAAGCAGCTGGAACTGATGGGATCATGACAGAAATGTTAAAAGTGGGGGGGTGGGGGGGTAGTGTTGGAGTGGTTGGTACTTTTGTTTAATAAATGTATGAAAGAGGGAAGGTACCTAGGGATTGGCGGAGAGCATGTATAGTCCCTTTATATAAAGGGAAAGGGGACAAAAGAGACTATAAAAATTATAGAGGAATAAGTTTACTGAGTATACCAGGAAAAGTGTACGGTAGGGTTATAATTGAAAGAATTAGAGGTAAGACAGAATGTAGGATTGTGGATGAGCAAGGAGGTTTCAGAGTGGGTAGGGGATGTGTAGATCAAGTGTTTACACTGAAGCATATATGTGAACAGTATCTAGATAAAGGTAGGGAAGTTTTTATTGCATTTATGGATTTAGAAAAGGCATATGATAGAGTGGATAGAGGAGCAATGTGGCAGATGTTGCAAGTATATGGAATAGGTGGTAAGTTATTAAATGCTGTAAAGAGTTTTTATGAGGATAGTGAGGCTCAGGTTAGAGTGTGTAGAAGAGAGGGAGACTACTTCCCGGTAAAAGTAGGTCTTAGACAGGGATGTGTAATGTCACCATGGTTGATTAATATATTTATAGATGGGGTTGTAAAGGAAGTAAATGCTAGGGTGTTCGGGAGAGGGGTGGGATTAAATGTTGGGGAATCAAATTCAAAATGATGATACTGTGCTTATGGGAGCTTCTAAAGAAAAATTGCAAAGGTTAGTGGATGAGTTTGGGAATGTGTGTAAAGGTAGAAAGTTGAAAGTGAACATAGAAAAGAGTAAGGTGATGAGGGCATCAAATGATTTAGATAAAGAAAAATTGGATATCAAATTGGGGAGGAGGAGTATGGATGAAGTGAATGTTTTCAGATACTTGGGAGTTGACGTGTCGGCGGATGGATTTATGAAGGATGAGGTTAATCATAGAATTGATGAGGGAAAAAAAGGTGAGTGGTGCGTTGAGGTATATGTGGAGTCAAATAACGTTATCTATGGAGGCAAAGAAGGGAATGTATGAAAGTATAGTAGTACCAACACTCCCTTTTATGGGTGTGAAGCTTGGGTGGTAAATGCAGCAGCGAGGAGACAGTTGGAGGCAGTGGAGATGTCCTGTTTAAGGGCAATGTGTGGTGTAAATATTATGCAGAAAATTCGGAGTGTGGAAATTAGGAAAAGGTGTGGAGTTAATAAAAGTATTAGTCAGAGGGCAGAAGAGGGGTTGTTGAGGTGGTTTGGTCATTTAGAGAGAATGGATCAAAGTAGAATGACATGGAAAGCATATAAATCTATAGGGGAAGGAAGGCGGGGTAGGGGTCGTCCTCGAAAGGGTTGGAGAGGGGGTAAAGGAGGTTTTGTGGGCAAGGGGCTTGGACTTCCAGCAAGCGTGCGTGAGCGTGTTAGATAGGAGTGAATGGAGACAAATGGTACTTGGGACTTGACAATCTGTTGGAGTGTGAGCAGGGTAATATTTAGTGAAGGGATTCAGGGAAACTGGTTATTTTCATATAGTCGGACTTGAGTCCTGGAAATGGGAAATACAATGCCTGCACTTTAAAAGAGGGGTTTGGGATATTGGCAGTTTGGAGGGATATGTTGTGTATCTTTATATGTGTATGCTTCTAAACTGTTGTATTCTGAGCACCTCTGCAAAAACAGTGATAATGTGTGAGTGTGGTGAAAGTGTTGAATGATGATGAAAGTATTTTCTTTTTGGGGATTTTCTTTATTTTTTGGGTCACCCTGCCTCGGTGGGAAACGGCTGACTTGTTGAAAAAAAAAAAATTAGCTTTATTTCTTACAAGAAAATTCAGAGCACCCAGCATATTTTTTTAATCTTAAAACTATATTTACAGAATATACATATGGATATGGAAGTAATCCCAGAGGCTCCCTCACCTATATTACAACAAGACATAGAAGAAGAATATGAGCCTATAGAAGCAACACCTCCACTTGAGGAATATATTCATGTGGAGGAAGTCATTGTAGAAGCTCCACCTCAAAGGCAGAAACGGGTTGTGGAGAAAGTGGAGCCAGAAGTGTCTACCACTGATGATAAACTGGATGAAGTTAATGATGCTTCAGCTGCTGCTGAGGAAGAAGAGTTTGTAGAAGCAATACCAGTTGAAGAAAGTATTGAGGTCCCAGAAACACTGGCATCTTTTAAGGAAGCTACACCTAAGGAAACTGCCCCTAAAGATATGGAACATGATGTGGTAACAGAGGAAGTTATTCCAGTTGAAGAGCATGTAGAGGCTGTTACTGTTGAGGAATCTTTGCAGGTAAAGAATGAAGCAGATGATGTACCCATTGAAGAAACTCTACTAGCAGAGGAAGTGAAAAAATCTTTACCTCTTGAAGGACCTCCAGTAGTCAAGGAAATGAAATCAGCCCTGGAAGAAGAGAAGAAAGAGGAGCCCAGTGAAGAAACTGGAGAGTTAGCTTTGCCTGAAAATAATGAAGTTGAAGACCTTTTACATGTTGAGCATGTGTCAGAAATGGGTGCACCTGCTGGGGAGATTGAAGAAGTAACTTTAGCAAGTGAAAAAGCAGAGGAAGAGTTACCTGGTGCTGAAGAAGATGGAGCTTTAGATGCTTTTGTTAATATACAAGTAAAAGAAGTTCTTCCTGTTGATAGTGAAACCCCAATAGAAAATCAAAATGTAGATGATCATAAGGAAGAAGCTGAAGGACAACCAAAAAAGGGGGATAATGACTATTATGATGATGATGATGATGATGATGAGGATGACGATGATGATGACGATGATGATGACGATGATGATGAGATAGAGAAAATTGTAGGTAAAAGATTAGGTCAAGATGTTACTGAAGAGGAGGAAGAAGATTGGTCACAGTATGGAAAGGAGGGTGAAGTTGGTCTTTTGACTGACGCATATCTAAAAGTTGAGTCATTAGCAGAACAAGTGCTAGCCAAGGATCCAAATAATGCTATGGTAGCACAGTTAGCACCACACCTGTCTGGAGTTCTTCAAGCTATGGAAGGTGGTCAAACAAATGGATTACTTGATACACTTAAGCACATTCAAGTTATCCTAGAAGATGTCAAGAATCGTATTGAGGCTGAGGTGAGTGAATTCCAATACTCCTAACTGAGCTTAGAATAATAATCCCAAGTACTGAGTATTGATTTTCACCTGTAGTGTAATTTAAATGCCATTATTAGTCTTGCTCCTTTGGTCTTTTAAGCAGTAACTAAGTATATGCTTTATAAGCTGAATTAGATAATCAGGGGATTGAAGGAATGCCATAAACTTAATTTACTTCTTGGAAATACATATATTTTCATGGAAAAGGTGCAACACATCTTGAAAATGAGATACTTTCTTCACAATTTTTCTTTATGAACTTACCATATGCTGATATAATTCCAGGCTGTCTTCACTTTTTACCTGGTATGAGTAGTTACACTCTTATTAATGGTATAGTACATTCTTTTAGGTATCATCCTATTATTTTATTCTTAATGTGTAAAATTTATTTTTGTTTACTTTTTCTTCTGATATTTAATAGCAAATAGAATATACTACATTGAGAAGAATTAGATGATTAACCTGAGGTAGTTGCCTAAAACAGTGGAAGTTCTACAGCTGTATATAAAAATCTTGGCAATTTTTGCTTGAATCTATCCAACTTTTAGATATATAGAATTATGTAGTTTGAATTTTCTCATCCTTTCCTTTGAATCTTGACCTGCAGAAAGAGAATGTTTTCTTTGGCTCTTCAGTGCAGATTATCAAAGCTTACTTCATCACATAATAAATGTTTTTTCTTATCATCATTGGGACAGAATTCCCACCACATTCCTTAATACTTATCATTAATTAAAACTGCATCTCTTTGTAATAACACACAATTCTTTTATTTAAACCCATCTTATTGGGAGGGAGGGAGTATGGAAGAAGTGAATGTGTTCTGATATTTGGGAGTGGATTTGTCAGCAGATGGGTTTATGAAGGACGGGGTTAACCATAGAATTGATGAAGAAAAAAAGGTGAGTGGTGCATTGAGGTGTCTGTGGAGACATAAAACGTTATCCTTGGAGGCAAAGAAGGGAATGTACAAGAGTATAGTGGTACCAACACTCTTATATGGGTGTGAAGCATGGGTTGTGAATGCTGCAGCAAGGAGGAGGCTGGAGGCAGTGGAGATGGCATGTCTAAGGGCAATGTGTGGTGTAAATATTATGCAGAGAATTTTTAGTGTGGAAATTAGGAGGTGGTGTTGGGTTACAAAAAGTATTATTCAGAGGGCTGAAGAGTTATTGAGGGGGGGGGGTCATTTAGAGAGGATGGAGCAAAATAGAATGACTTGGAGGGTGTATAAATCTGTAGTGGAGGAGAGGAGAAGTAGGGATTATCCTAAGAAAGGATGGAGGGAAGGGGCAAAGGAGGTTTTGTGTGCAAGGGGCCTGAACATGCAGCAGGCATGTGTGAGCATGTTAGATAGGAGTGAATGGAGACGAATGGTTTTTGGGACCTGACGAGCTGTTGGAGTGTGAGTAGGGTAATATTTTGTGAAGGGATTCAGAGAAACCAGTTAGCCAGAATCGAGTCCCAGAGGCAGAAAGTACAATGCCTGTACTTTAAAGAACGGTTTGTGATATTGGCTGTTTGGAGTGACATCTAAACTGTCATATCTGGGCACCAGTGCAAAGACAGTGATTATGTGTGAATGATGGTGAAAGTGTTGAATGAGGGTGAAAGTGTGCTTCTTTTTTGGGTCACCCTGCCTCAGTGGGAGATGGCCAGCATGTTGAAAAAAAAACAAAAGTTGCGTATATGCTTCTATATCAGTTGTATCACCTGCACATTGACAGTCAAGAGCAGCCATCTTACAAACTTTCTGGAATTTTCTCCTCACATTGACGACACTAGACTTTTTTCTTTTTAAGTAATACTTTTTAACCCCTTGACTGTCGCAACCCCCAATCCTGAGGTGTCTCCTGGTGTTGCAAAATTTAAAAAAAAAAAAAATTCTCATGAAATGATAGAGAATCTTTTCCCGGTTGTAATGACACCAAAAAAATGAAATTTGATGGAAAACTGACGGAATTACGCTCTCGCAAAGTTAGCAACCTCAGTGATATTTACAAATTGGCAATTTCGCCCACTTTGAGCCCTATTTTCAGCTAATTCCATTGTTCCAGTCGACCAAACTCATAACTATTTCTTTAGAACTCCATTTTTTATATCGATTGAGTACAAGAAACTGCCCATTTACCGATTTCAACTACCCAATAACGTGGTCAGAAATTTGCAATTTGGCCAATTTCACAAAATTAAAAAATATGACAATTTCAAAATAAGGTCCACAATGAACACTGCAGACATTCCTGGCTCTAAAATAACATTTTCTTTGTTCATCAGTCAGTCTCCGGGCCCCCTCTGATTTACTTTTGTTTTTATTTAAATTTTTATTAAAACAAAATAAGATTGTAATAAAGTTGGTAGAATTAAACCGACAATTGTAAAGTAAAAGGACACAAGTGCAACAATTGACATTTTTGGCAACTTTCGCTCTCCAGACTTTATCAAGCCATTCAAAAAATTCTGGGCACAGAGGGTATATAAAGGTCTGATGAGGGGCAATACATAGGACCATTTCGTGTTTTATAGGGGTAGTAGTAAGTAATATGGTGGTAGTGACAAAAAAATAAATATAAAACAATTAATTCGTACTGAGAAAAGGAATAAAAGCTTTTATTGGGTAACTAAAAAAAGGTTGGGCAAAAATAGCGGAAAGAGGCAGGTTTTTTCAGTGTTCACTCTCTGTAAGTGCTTTGTGTAGATAACAGGGAGACTATGGATGGCGGGTTTATGTTTCAGGAGGGTTCTTGCTAAACTTTGGAGATGGTGAACTGCCGTTTTTTTTTTTAATTTTATTTGAAACAGCGATCAGTGCGATTCAAGGGACTTGCGTCCCGCAGAAATTAGTTTCTTATCACAATTGGGGACTCTGAATTTCATGAATGATTGGTGGAAATTTTGGTGTTGTACACAGGCGTTGTTTTTGTTGTCGTTCCTACTGCTAAATGTGTTTATTTAGGCGGGTTCGGGTTTCTTTCTGTTTCACCTAGTAGATCTTGTCACGCCCCCCACAGGGGATATGTAAATCCTGCATTTACTGGTTCGTGGGCTTGGGGTTTTTCCGGTTAGATCCTTATTGAAGTGGGAGAAGCAATGGCGACCTGGGTTACTTGTGAAAGTACTTTTGAACGTTAGTGCAACCTGGGTTGGGAAAAAACTTTTTTGGGGGCCTTTTTTGACGTGGAGAATTGATGATCTGAAAGCTCTTTTCTTGCAGTCTTTGATGAAAAAAAAAGGAAATTTTAACCAGTGAAAGTTTGGGGAATGTAAATGCTTCCTCTTTTGAAACTCAGGGCTACAAATTCGGTAACTCTTAAAAAACCGATGATGAGCCCCCTTTTTTGGGCTTGTATCTTCTGGAAAAAGTGTGAAACCCCCCAAAAAATGATCTCAACACTTCTATTCCAGTAAAGTTTACCAAGCCCCAAAAGAGGCATATCATCGGGTTTTTTCCTAAGAGAACAAAATTTGTGCCCTAAGTTTTTTAAGAGGAATGATTTTCCCATTCCCCAAAAAATTCATGAGTTGCAATTTTCTTCTTTTTTCATAAAAAGACTGCAAAAAAAAGAGCTCTTCAGTCATCAATTTCCACGCATCAACACGGTCCAACAAATTTATAATTTTTCCCCAAAACACCCAGGTTGCACTAAAGTCTCAAAAGTACTTTCACAAGCTAACACCAGGTCGCCATCGCTTCTCCCTTCAAAAAAGGATCAAACCCGGGAAAAAAACCCAAGCACACGAACAGTCAATGCAGGATTTTACACTATACCCTTTGGGGGAGGTGTGAAAAGATCTACGTGGGGTAAAACAGAAAAAACCTCGACACCCCCTCAATAAAACACATTTAGATTAGGAACGCCCAACTTAAAAAACGCCTGTGTACAAAAACCCGAAATTCCACAATATCAAAAATTCGAGCGCCCAATTAGTGATCAAAAAAAATAATTCCGCAGCGCAAGTCCCTTAAATCAGCACTGATCGCTGTTCGAAACAATTAAAAAAAACAACGGCAGCTTCCCCATCCCCAAAAGTCTTAGAAAAATCCCCCTGAAAACAGTAAACCCGCCATCCATAGGGGGATGGGAGCACTGGCAGGGGGTGGGGCACTGGCAACTGCAGGGAGGGAGCAGTTAGGCCCTTTAAAACTGGGGAAATTTTGTGGTAGGGGTTTTGGGGCGGGAAAAAACTGAAGCCCAGTGTATAATATTACATTTCGGGGAAAAACTGAAATTTAAAAAGAAGAGATGAATTGAAAAGCCGGGATTGGGAATAAGGACAGTAATGTTAGTAAAAAATAAAAATGAGCGGGAAAAGGGTAAGAGAAAGGGAGTTTTTTCAATGTTTATTATGCTAATTGCCGTAGTGTAGGAAAAAAGAATAAGAGTTGAATTAGTTGCTAGTGCAGGTAACATTGATGTATTTTCCTTAACTGAGAGTGGTTTAATTCAAAAAAATGGGGGGCATGCCCGCGGGAAGTATATTTTAGGGGTTTTTTTTTGTTCCAAAAAGATAGAAGTATTGGGGGGGGGGTGGGGTGGCATTGTATGTCCGAGATCGCTTGAAAATGTTGCATAAAAACGGGGATTAATCTGAAGTAAACATACAGGCTGTTTGGAAGAAAATTTTAGAGGGGGGATGGAAAAACTGATTTTGGGTGAATTTCCGTCCCCCCAAACTTTGTAGGGGGCCGGGAAAAAATGCATGGGGGGAAATTGTTAAAAGGGCCCCAAGGCACGTTTTAAATTTGTAATTTAGGGGACTTTAACTTTAGTCATGTTGATTGGATTTCTTTATGGGAATTTGAAACAAAAAACTTCTTAGAAGTATTTGGGTTTTTTTGAAGCATTTGTGCAGGAAAACCCAACAAGGGAAAAAAAACCCGTTGACTTAGTTATGGAAAAAAAATGAATCCCTTGTTAATAATTAGAAATTTCAGAGGGAAAGGGGGTAGCGACCACAAATCAAATTTCATTTAG